CAATATCCCGAGACATTTTGCAAAAATAAGTAAAGTTTACGTTCTTCGAATGTGATGTCCTAGCCAAAGACTGTAGAGTACAAAGAAAACGTTAGTAGCTAACTTGCGAATTACCTCACCGTTTTCCAATTTACTTTCTCAATTCGTAGAATGGAAGGTACAGTTTCGAAATTTGTTGGTCCGTGGCCACCAAATCGTTTAAAGTCAGATGATCGAGAATTTGATATATGTTGTGATACATTTCATCGATCATCCAATCACATGAAAGCCCGGTTTGGAAACATCACTTCGATTTCTCGGTTTGTTAATAATAATAGCTATCATTGGACAAATATATTCAAGTTAAGGGGGAATATGCATACTGTTGGGAAAAAGACCCCTTCAAAACTATCATATGTCGTCGATCTATTTCCATTTGTGAAAAAGGTATTTCCCTCGCCAACGTTTGCGGTACACCTTTCAGGTGTTTCATTTATCATCATGTACTACAGCGCACAATCTCATCAACTTTGCGGTACTCCTTTTTCCTATCCATTCGTCCCTTATACACATCTCACTTATGGGAAATTACACTCATCCTAAAACTCTTCAGTCGGCTTCTGTCTACGAACAAGAAACAGTCGAGCTGAATGGACACGATAGCTTTGAACTTGGCAATGACGATAGAGTGAACCTGTTGGAAACACAGTATGATACTCAGACCCAGAAACGGGGGGCACCTATCTGCGGTCATAAGTTTCATGCCATACATCATGGGCTCTTTGTATTGTTGAACACTTTTATGTTGGTTGCAGTGTTTGCGCTGAGAAGGTTGTGGAATCAAGAGGTTCGTAGTAATCTATAAAGAATGTAATCATATGTACGAATGTATTATATATGACGTATGGCGCAAGTATTACATATGAAGCACTGCAATGCTCCCGTTATCATTTATGTGGCTAACAAAATGATGCAAATTTCCGTATATATTTTTTCAGCTAATAGACTCATATCCGGAAAGCTTGACACAAATTAGAGTTGCATTTTACCTGGAAGCTATAACCAGAGTAATAACACTAGTGCTTGCATCGGTATTTCATACTTATAAGAAATACCCGGTTCTAAACATCCTCGGATTGATACTAGGTAAGCTCATCAAAGGATGCGTGAATTATTGGATTGTTGTTCTATCAGTGATCCTTACCTTCATCTACTTTACAGGACGTCTAGATTATCATCTGCTGGTACACTTTTACAGAGAACACAACGATATCCGTACACTGCTTTTTGCAGTAGAAGCAACGTACTTGTTTGGAAGCGTTAGCACATTACTCTACGTCTGGGCCGGTCTTTGTCAAGCGGCTGCTGGGTATAGCATATCGATTCTTGTCATACTATCTACAGGAGTGTGTGTATTGACGGTGTTT